CTATAAAAAGGCCTGTGTGCCTGCTTTCAAGGTCTCCATCTATTCAGATGGTAGACCCACAGCATGCTGTGTTTTTGAGCTCAATAAAGGCTTCTGCTGATTGCATACACGAGAGAGTATATTTCGTGGGGGACATGAAATCGGGCACAAAACTCACAAGCCACCACAGTATGACAAACTGACAAACGAGTGGTGGTATATATCTAGCGTTGTTGTTGTGAAGTGCCATTGAGTTGGTTCCGACCCGTAGCGACCCTGTATAGGGTTTCCAAGGAGCAGCTGGTGAGCTTGAACCGCCAGCTTTGTAGTTCAAACAGCTTTGGAGTCTTGCTCATTAACCCACAGCGCCACACCAGTGCATACAATATAATTAACACCTAGCCTGGCAGTTGATAGCAAAGTCAGTTTAGACTTGAATATCTTGCACAGGGTTTCTGAGGAGCATTTGGTGCTTTGGAACCTCTGACCTTGCAGTTAGCAGTCCAGTGCTAATCTTACAGCACCACACCAGTCTATGATTAAACTTGATAATAAATGTTACTTAAGATCTGTATGATCTGGTATACGAGGAGATCCATGGGGGACATGTGTAACACTGTGAGTTACCCCTCAGGTTAACACCAACACTAATGATGCCACAAATTCAGAGACCATAAAAGAGGATACTCAAATGCACATTAAGGTCAAGTTCTGTGTACTATTACTTAATGGCTAATGGATAAACTCTTCTAATGATAGACTGACTTAGTGTAAAAAAAAAAAAACTTTATTGTAATTAAGTCACATCTAAACGTGCCACCTTCCCTAGATAGTATGTGGTTTTTAATTTATTATTGTTTTGCCCTACCAAATGTACTTTATAGGCAGTAAGAAAGGTTATATATATGAATCTAGTTAAATCAACAGTTTGTAATAATTTAAATGAAATAAGAGTAATTATGAAACTAAGGTGAGTTAGACAAGGTAGGAAATTCCTTTAACAAACTGGTAACCATTCTACATTACTATCTTCCTCCAAATAAACCTTGTATTATTCCATTTGGCTTCAACTCTCTAAACTCAGGGACTGAATCAAGGAGAAAGTTAACAATTTTAGAAACAATGTGAGTTTCTACACATGACAATGGGAGTTAAGAATTCTCAGGGTCATCAGTAAACTCTTCTCCTTTAAAAGATGAATGCTGAGAAACATTGTATTATAAAATACTTCAATACTGTAAAGACATCTGGGCCAACTTCTTTCCATTCTGAGGAACAGATGTTGCCTATTTCCATTGTTTTCTCGTATTTAACTGGCTTTTAATGCCCTTATTTATTTTTCAAGGATTACTTGTTTTCTTTTCTTTTTTTTTTGAGAGGTTCTTAGTCAAAACTTCTTGAAAATCCAAACAAATATATGTCTGCTGAGTTTCCTTTGTTTTATATTAAAAAAAAAAAAAAAAAATCTTCCAGAGAACCTTTTTGGCAGGTCTGATAAGCTTGGTTGTGGTCCGGATCCTGCTGGTTACCAGGACACAATCATCTAATTATTCATATTCATAGGATGAGCTTCAAGACAACTTACTGATCTGTAGTTGCCTTTGTAAAACCAGTGGTCATGTAAGTCGCTTTCTGTCTCAGAAATATAGTAAAAGATAGTATTGTTATTTCCTTCGCATTTTAGCCCGATTTTGCACTTCTTAAGTACCCTTAGCAAGGAACTCTGGTAGTGTAGTGGTTACGAATAAGGCTGCGAACCCCAAGGTCAGCAGAACGAACCTACCAGCTGCTTCTTGGGAGAAAGATGAGGCCTTCTGCTCCGTAAAGATTTACAGCCTCGGAAACCCTGTTTAGGGTCGCTATGGGTCGGAACCGACTAGATGGCACTTAACAACAAAGTACCTTTAGCTGGTTCAGCATGAGTCATAAACAGCTGATAGACTTTGAAATTGTGCTGCAAATTTCTACTTTAGATACTTCCATCTCATCAAATTTTAAGAATATAGTGATGACTGGGAGGGGGTGAGAGTCATAAATGTTCCCAATAACCTCTGTTAAAAAAAAAAAAAATTTATACCAGAAATTTCAAGCAGCTTTTTGAAGACTAATTTTCTTCACTGAAAGGTTTCTGATAGCTATCTTTCCACTTTACTCTTTGTGAAAACACCAGTAGGCTTCTAGAGTTTTGATGGGACCTTTGAACACTTTCAATCACAGAAGAACCGAGGAAAGGGCGGCTGTGTAAAGATTGCAACAGCCAAAAAGAGCATCTGAACGTCACCTGCTTTTTATTTGACAATCTGTCTTCTGTTCACTGGAACAGAGAAAGATTTCGGCCCAAATGGCATTTCACGTTTGTCGGGAGCTCTAGGTCGTGACCTTTATCTAGGGAAGCCAGAGTCGCAGACCTAAAACTATCCAGTTCCCTAGCGTCGTGGACATTTCCCCCATTTCCTCAAGATGGTTGTTCGGGTCTGAGTACTGTCTAGTGTCCAGCAAAAACAGAGGCAGCTCCAGAATTTCCATCTAACAAGAGCTTCAGAACCCCCATTAGTCGCTCCTTGGAGAGCCTATACAGGGTCGCTATGAGTCGGAACCGATTCGACGGCACTTAACTATAACAACCTGTTGGAATGGGATGGGAGCATTCTGTTTTGATTTTGATTTTACATACAGATGTAGATTAAAATGTGTGTGGGAAGTGGGAGTATGGAAATCGTTGGCTGTGGTACGCCTGAAGATGAGTAAAAATCTTCATAAAGGTTAGAAGTATTCCTTAACTTGTAGAGATGTAAAAAGTGGTCTGTGTTCCAACAATAAAGACTCACAGTATTTTGAATCTGCATGATTCCACATTCAGAGTGAGCCCAGGAATGACGCACCGCGGTGACTTGGCATCCAGAGAGCATCCCCTCGGACTCCCACGACCTCCCGCTACGCCCCCGCCTCCTCTCCGCCCCCAGTCCAGGGTCCTCCCCGGTCCAAGTGGGCGGGCTCCAGGCGGAGCTGGACGGGCGCGGCGGTTCCAGACGCGGAGGAGCATGGAGGGCGGCAGCTAGAGGGAGCTGCTCGCACCGCCGCCGCCGCTGCCGCCGCGCCGGCCCCTCCACGCCCGCGGCTCGGAGCGCCGGCCTCCTAGCTCGCTCGCGCGCCGCCTTCCCTAGTCCGCGCCGCCGCGATGGCGGAGGACAGCGAGTCTGCGGCCAGCCAGCAGAGCCTGGAGCTGGACGACCAGGACACGTGTGGGATAGACGGGGACAATGAGGAAGAGACCGAGCACGCCAAAGGGTAGGAGGGCGGCCAGTGGACGCGACAGGGCGCGGGGGCCACGCGCGTGTCGCGGCTCCCACTCGGGCTCTAGGTCCTGCGGGCGCGGCCGCTCTGCGGTGGCTTCGGCCCGTGAGGACCCCCGAGCCCACGCGGTGCTCTCGGGCAGCTCCGAGACTGGTTGAGCCGGCCGGGGGAGGAGGCGGACGACGGAACAGGCATTGGTTTCGTTCCAATTCTCCGACCATTGTGAGATCCGGATCGCGCAGCTCGGATGGGAAACCGCGCGGTGGAAATGAGGCCCTAGGTGGGCGGGGAGGCGAGGGGTCCCAGTGGAGGACCGGCGACGTTGCTGTCGGGTGCCCGATGCTTTCGGCCTCCCAGGAAGGTCACCTGCCGCGCGTCCCTGCCCAGCCGTCGCCCCATCCCCGCTGGCCGGCCCCAGCCCCGTGGGTGTGATTTGCTGCCGTTCCCAGCATGTGACTCTCACAGTGGGAGCCGATTAGAGTCACGAAACCCTTCTTTATGGGCAACCCCCATCCTTTGCCAACCGCCCCGCTCCACTGCCAGCCGCAGCTCGTTTGTAGGTAGTCGCCCTCTGCTCCTTGTCATCCTCTCCTTGTGCTTTCTGATCCTCTCTTCCTCCCACCCCCAGCCACAACAAAAAAGATGCGAGACTAACTAGCCCATGGTGGGGAGTGGTTTTGCAGTTAGCCGCTAGTCCGTCTCGTTGCTGTCTGCTGTGAACAGCGGAAAGTTATGTCTTTCTGGGCTGCGGCCCCCGCCCCACGGCGAGGCGGGTTGGGGGCGCCGAGCTGGAGGTGCAGCCCCGCCCTGAGAGAAGCCCTCGGGCTCGAGAGCGCTTAGCAGAAATGCCTGGTGGAGGGGTGTACCTCCCTGGGCCCCTCAGCGGTTCGGTTTTGTAAGAGGTATCTACAGCAGATCCGACCCTCTGAATTAAGCACTCATAGCTTAGTCTCTCTTTTTATTTCTTTTCTCTTTTTTTCTTCTGAGTATTCTATTGTGTTTTGGGCGCAAGTTTAGGCAGCAAATTAGTTTTTCATTCAATAATTTATGCACAAATTGTTCCATGACATTAATTGATATCCCAGCAATGTGTCAGCACCTTCTCATTTCCACCTTGCCTTCATTTCCATCCCTCCAGTTTTCATGTCCCTCATTGCTGTTTGGCAAATCTGGTCCGTTTGATCTCCTATTCTACGGAGCACATTCCTTATGGGTGTTACTGTTTATTTTATAGGCCAATCTGTTTTTTGGGGGAAAGGTGACCTAGGCGAGTAGCTTCATAGCTTAGTCTAGTGGTCAGTTCCCACAGACCTGACCAGTCGGTGTTTGAGCTCCAAAAGCAAAATACACCAAGCATTTTAACACTTAGCCCTTTTCGGTTGCCCCCTTTTCTCCTCAGATTAGATTTGCTCTTTTCCTCTTGGAGAAGAGATTGCTTCAGGTTAAGGGTTTTATTGAAGTTCTGTTTTTAGAGGCAACAGGGTCTTTTTAATAAAGACTGGCATTACCCCTTTACCCTGCTGGATTCAAAACATGCGCTGGTACAGAACATTCATTGCTGTCTCTTAGAAGTGAGATTTTGTGAATCATGGTGACTGATATTGAACTGGGTCAGCTTAAAACATGACAGGAAGGCCTTAGTCACAGATGCCTTATTTATTCAGTTCATGTAAAGGATTCTTTAGATGACTGATCATTTAAAGTGTTAAGCATTTGTATACTATTTAATGCCTACACTTATTTAAGAAAGGAATTCTTACAAAGCTGTAGTGTGTTATAAAATATTAAATGAGAGATCAAGAAACAGAAAGCTGACTACATTTATCTCCCTTTTCTGAGTTTTTTTTTTTTTTTTAATTTTTCAGCAAGTATGTATTTTAGTGGCAGCTGCAAGTACTGAATGCTATAATTCAAATCCAGATTTTTTTTTTTTAAATCTGAGGAAGGGAAATGCTGCAGACATATGAGACTTAGTTCTGTTTGTATAGTGATAGAAATTTGCCTATGAGAGGTAGCTAAATTTAAATGTTTTTGAAACAATAACACTATTGCTAGAAAAGGGGCCAGTTGGAAATGTGATGGACTGCCCAAATAACCCACTTGAAGGTACTTAACAGTAACAACTGTCTGTTATCTTCCAGGTGAGCACTGCTACTGTGATTTCTGTGTATGGTTCTTCTCTTGTTCTATTCTAGGTTGGGGGCTTGGGTAGGACTTTGCTCACACAGTCAGAAATATCCAGGGCACAAAGAAATACTGTCTTTTCACAAATGCTGGGTAAACAAAGTGCTGGTGTATATAACACACACCGTATATAAGAAACAAATGCACAAGGGGTGCATAGTAAACTGTGTAAGGCTGGTTTAACGCTAGTGTTGTTTGTGTAAAAATGTGATACTCCTCTGTGGTACTTCATTGATCCCAGCCTGCCCCCTGAAACCTTACCATTGGCTGTGCGAAATTCCCGGATTAGCACCCAAAGACATCATGATGCCCTATTCAGTTTTGTACATCAGCACATTAATTACATGTTAGCATAGTTAATCAAAATTTACAAATGCCCAGTGGACTGAAATGTTTTAAACAAGAGCAGATGATGTGATACCAGTTTCTAGTGGGAAAGAAAATTGAAAAAATGGATTTATTGTAGTCTTTTAAAATCTAGAGATTTAGTAGATATCCAAGTTGCTGGCTCTTGTTTGGTTGCTCTTTTGGATTTGAATTTAGACAATATATGCCACATACTGAGGTGTAATTGCTTCTTAGTAACCTAGATTTTCTTTAAAGTAGCTCAAGTTTATAAATGTTAAAATTTGAAAGGTTCCTCTTGTCTATACTTGGCCTCTTCATTCTCTACTAATTTAAATAAATAACAATGAGCTTTTGAAGGAAACGCCTTAGCTTATAAAGGTGAATTATCACTTTGAGGCCGCTAGGGTAGTGGTCAGCGCACAAGTCAGTAAGATGCTAAATGAGACCCTTGTGGCCTGAAAATTAATTTGCCTCCACAAGTTGAGTACAGTGTTATTTACTGGTGTTTTTAGACCTATTAAATTGAAACTAGAGCCTCTAGTAAAAGGAAAACACTCAATTTAGATTAAAATTTTGCACAAATTTAAATATTTACTCTGTGTGTGTGTGTGTGTGTGTGTGTGTTTGTCTCTATTTTCATAGAATCTTCTTTGTTTGTGGCTCATGCACAGAGTCCATGAATGTTTAATTGAATAGCGGTTTTTATGTTGAATTAAAATCAGTAGCTTAAGTATTTTAAGTACTTGAATCTCACTGTTTTTGTATCTTATTTTTCATGAGAAATGTGCTGTTTAACTTTGGTCCCTCCCAGTTGAAAGTGGCATACCACTAGGATTTTTTATGAATCAAAAAACATAGGAACAGGAAGGGATTGCCAATTGCCAGTTTTAATAAGTGTTGTTGCTGTTGTTGTTGTTGTTAAGTGCCATCGAGTCAATTCTGTCCCATAGCGACCCTGTATAGGGTTTCCAAGGGGCAGCTGGTGAGCTTGAACCACCGGACCTTGCAGTTCAAACGGCTTTGCAGTCTGGTGCATTAACCCATAGCCGCTGCACCAGGATTCCTAACAAGTGAGAGTGTGTTTTTTTAAAAAAAAGAAAAAAAGAAAGTATAGTTTTATTGTTTTGAACTATTTACTAGGGGACTTCAAACATTTTGTGGAAAAATGGAATTTAAAAAAATATGAAACTTTTTGAAGCCCTCTCATACAGCAATTAGAACTAGGCTAAAAACAGATTGTCTAAAATGATCCTTTAGATAATTAGCTTTAACACACCTGGTTTACAATTGCTCTTGGGTACTGTAGAGTGATTCCCAATTTACAATGTTATCAATTTCACTGTAAGTAGGTCTTTGAGAGAGCTTGAAAACTTTCAAGCAATTTCAGTATTGTAAGGGTCCTGGTGTGGTGCTGTAGGGTAAGCACTGGACTGCTAAACACAAAATCAGAGGTTTAAACCCACCAGCCATTCCTTGGAAACCCTATACAGGGTAACTGTGAGTCAGTGCCAACTTGACAGCACTTAACAACACCAACAAAGGGTCCTGGTGTGGTGTTGTGGGATAAGCACCGGACTTGCTAACTGCAAGCTTGGTGGCTCAAACCTACCAGTCCATCCACAGAAACCCTCTCTATACAGGGTCTCTATGAGCACTTAACAGTAACAAAAACAACAAAGTAATACTGTTTATATTGTTATTTGTGGTAAGTGTGCTGGACTGCAAAGTTAGTGTGGACTGCAAGGTATGTGGTTCAAGCTTACCAGCTGCTCCTTGGAAACCCTATACAGGGTCGCTATGAGTTGGAACCAACTAGACGACACTTAACAACAATAACAACACATAGATAAATTAACTTTAGTCTAGCTTTCTATATGAATTATGAAAAATTATCCAAATTGCTCAAAATGTTCTCTTATGGGTGGTAGTCATACTAAAGAAGGATGCCCTGGTGGTGCTGTGGGGTCAGCATTGAGCTGCTAACTATGGGGTTGGTGCTTCTGGGGAGAAAGATGAGGCTGTTAGCGTCTGGAAAGATTCAGTCTCTGAAGCCCTACATAGACTTGCTGTGGGAAGAGTAGATAGCAGTGTTGTTGTTGTTGTTGTTAAGTGCTGTCCAGTCGTTCAGGCTCACGCTGTTGTCTATGTAGGGTTTCTAAGGAGCTCTGGTAGCATAGTGGTTACGAATTGAGCTGCAAACTTCAAGGTCAGCAGTTCAAAACTACCAGCCATTCCGCAGGAGAAAGATGAGGCTTTCTGCTCCCACCGTAAAGATTTACAGCCTCGGAAACCCTGTTCAGGGTCGCTATGAGTCGGAACCGACTCCACGGCACACCACCACCAAGAAGCAAGTGATGAATGAGCTTGTGGTTCAGACCGAACTTACAGTCCAGTGCTTATCCTACAGTGCCACATCCAGGCTACAGGTGGCACTTGTTAAGTGCCATTGAGTCCGGTTCTGA